AACTTTATGAAATGCACATTTTTGGTCCCTCAATAATTTTTTACACTTTTTTTATCCTTTAATTCTAAAGATTGCATAATTTTGGTCCCTCCGTCAATTAAATATGATGTGGTAGTTAAATAATTTCATGTGGCATTTTCTTTTAATTCTTTTGATGATGTGGCAATAATATATTTTAGAATTATCTTACGTGGACAAAAAAAAAGCCATATAAGTTAAATATTTATATTTTAATAAAAAGAAATAAAAACATACAACATGACATTATTAGCCCTCACCCTCTCGATCCTTCTTTCTTCCCCTTCTTTCTTCCCTTCCTACATCTGCATTGGTGGTTCCACTGAACCCAGATTTGCTAGGTTCGGTGGAACCCATATTGCCTGGGTTCCCTCAAACCCAGCTGTTGGGATTGTGGAACCCAGATCGGTTGGGTTTCGACAAACCCAGTTGTTGGGTTCCACGAAACCCAACTCTACTTAGTTCCATCGAACCCAATTGTTGGGTTTGTGGAACCCAGATCGGCTAGGTTTTATCGACCCCAACTGCTGGGTTTGACGAAACCCAATTCTACTGGGTTCCATCAAACCCAGTTGTTGGGTTCGGTGGAAACCCAGATTGGTTTTTGAATGTTTTTTTGGTTTCTGATTGAGGGCTATCTCTTGTTTTTACTTGCTATTCAAAAAAAAAAAAATGGAAAGACTTCTGGGAATGGTTGTTGCATTGAGATTATATTATGCTGCAATGTTATCCATGGGATTTTGAGAATTAATCATGATTTCACCAGTAGAAAAGGCAATAATAGATTGGCTAGATTCGACGGAACCCAGCTCTGTTGGGTTCCATGGAACCCAGCAGCTGGGTTCCATGGAACCTAAGTCGATTGGGTTCGACAAAACCTAGCTTTATTGAGTTTCTTCGAAACCCAGCTGCTGGGTTTAGAACTAGATTATGTTGATTTCCATTCTTTTTTAGAACTAGGTTTGTCAAGTTCACCATGTTTTCTCATTCTTCTTTTGATTTCCATTTCTAGTTCTTGATAAATTTGGGAGTTGATTTACAATTTGATTACATTTATGTTGAAATTTAATTAAGGTTTGATTGACATTGTTTATTGAGTTAATTTGATGGAGTGAAGATGAGGGAGCATTCAGAGAAAAAGAAGAAAGGGGTTAAGATCGATTTTGAACGAGTGGAGATGAAAGACCTATTTAGGGTTTACAGGCATTTTACCCCTTTATTGGTGCTTTGGCAGCAATGTGGGTCCCATTTAAGTGGATTTGGCACCTTTTGAGTCACAAGAACAGGATATGGCAAAATGTTTTGTCCATATCAACACTTTTTTAAATTTTGCTTTCCATGTCATAAAAAAAATATAAAAAATGTCACATGCGTGGAGTTAATGACTAAATTGATGGAAGGACTAACGTTATGCATTTCTTAGAGTTGAGGGATCAAAAAACTGTAAAAAATTGTTGAGGGACCAAAAAAGTACAGCTCACTAAAGTTGAGGGACCAAATTTAGTATTTAACCTAACAAAAAATGCGTCTTTATCTCATACTCTAAGAGTATAAATTAAAAAAACCTATACAAGATATGTCTAACTTTTGTTGATAAAAAAAAAATTCCTAAATTGATAAGAAAAACTTATAACATTTCTATACGAAAAAAAATATCATGACATAAGATACC